GTGGGCAAAAACAGATTAAAAGCTAGACCAAAATGAAATCTGGACAGAAACAGAAAGGCTCTGGATTTTCTGTTCGGCCATCCAACAGAACAGAACAAAGAAAGCAAATAAACATCCATTCCAATTTTGATCCATGAAATTCAACAAACATGCTTGATTTCATTTACAGTATCATCATCTAGTACAGTTTTAATAAAGCAAAACTCTATGAGAATCAGAATCAAACAAGGTGAAATTTTTGGGAAAAAAAGCAGATTGAGATCCGAAGGGAGGGATCCCACCCACGGGATCAAGCTCCCTTCTTCTCCCTCACGGCTCTTCCCAAAAATTCCTCTTTTCAGAAATTACCTAAGGCAATGAAACCCAGAAAATGAAATTCCTCTGGAAGCTCGGTGATCCTTCCTCTCAACCACCGTTGTTGCCCCCTTTCTTCTCCAGTAAATCCCCTTCTATTGCTCTCAAAAACTCAGACGAAACTCCCCAACAAAGAGACCCAAAATCCACCCAAAAACCAACCCCTATTACTCTGCTTTTGCCCTATATATATACCCCAAAAAATAAAAAGAAAATGCAACAAAAGACAAGGGCCTTGCTCTGTCGATCAATGATGCCAATTTGTCCGGTACTCCTTGTCTTTTCTGCATGTGAGGCAAGGATGGGAGCTGCAGTAAATCAGCGATGCAGAGGCGCGGGATTGGGGTGAGGCGCGGTGTGCAGGGAGGCAGGGGCGTGGAGTGCTGATGATGACTCGGGCGTGCAGGGGCATCATTGCCGGCAGTGGGGCGCAGCAGGGCAAGCAGAGTGCAGGCGATCTGGTGCAGAGCGCAGGAGCTGGTGCAGGAAGCAAGGCCGAGCGTAGCAGAGTGCAGGCTGGGGCAGAGTGCAAACGATCTGGGCGCAGAGCAGGGAGCAGGGGCGTAGGTGCAGGGCTGGTGCAGCTAGGCTGGGCGTGCGAGGGGGCGATGATGGCTCGGTGCAGAGGAGCTGGGCGCGGTGCAGAGGATCTGGGCTGATTCGGGAGAGAGAAAAGTAAAAGAAAAATGGAAGAAGGAGGTTCTGGAGAAAAAAAGATTTAATCTTTTTTTTTTTTTTTTTCTTTTGGGTTAAATGGGTTTGGTATTTGGGCTTGGGTTTGGTATTTGGGCTTGGGTTTGGATTTTTGGGTAATTTTTGGTTT